CTTCTCATGGGGTGGAAATCAGCAGAATCAAAATCAGCATAGACCACAAGGGGGTTTCAATCAGCCTCAAAGGCCACCCCACAAATGGAAGAAAGCACCAATGATTTGCTGAAGAAGTTGTTGATTGACAATCAGCAGCTTAGGACCGATTTCAGAAATCTTGAGAGGCAGATGGGGCAGTTAGCCACAAATCAAAACACTAGACCTGCAGGTGCTCTCCCAAGTGATACAGAGAAGAACCCTCAAGTTAATGCAGTTACACTTAGAAACAGGAGGGAGCTAGAGGAAGTTCCAAGGAAGAAAAAAGATAAGCCCATACCTAAGGGGGAGTTGATCCCTAAAGTAACACAAGAGTCAAACAATGCAGGTGAAATTCCAGAGCCAGTGGCGACCCCGAAGCCACCACCCCCTTTCCCCCAAAGACTGCAGAAGAAGAATGATGATCACATGTTCAGCAAATTTCTCACCATGTTGAGCCAGGTTCAATTGAATATTCCACTTGTTGATGTACTCCGCGAAATTCCAAAGTATGCTAAGTACATAAAATATGTAGTGGCTCACAAGAGACGATGGACTGAATTTGAGACAGTTGCACTTACTGAAGAATGCACTTCAAGGGTCCAAAATAAGCTCCCTCAAAAGCTAAAGGATCCTGGCAGCTTCACGATCCCTGTGCGCATTGGTAATATAGATGCGGGTCGTGCTCTTTGCGACTTGGGGGCAAGCATTAATCTGATGCCCCTATCTTTGTTCAAGCAATTGGGCCTGGGAGCTCCCAGGCCAACTACTGCGATGTTGCAGCTGGCTGATAGGTCGATAGTGCACCCCGAGGGGGTGATTGAAGACGTGTTGCTAAAGATTGGGAAATTCATCTTCCCTGTTGATTTTATTATGCTCGATTATGAGGCTGATGAACTGGTCCCAATCATATTGGGGCGACCTTTCTTGGCTACTGGTGATGCAATTATCAAAGTGAGAGAGGGAAAGATGATCTTGAGGGTACATGATGAAGAAGCAGTTTTCAATGTTTACAAAGCAATCTAACTTCCCCGCCACTATGAGGAGCTCTCAATGATATCTTTCGTTGAGATTGATGAGCAGATTCATGATGCAAGTGTTTATCTAGACGATTCTCTAGAGAAAGCACTTATGTTGTTTAATGGCTTGGAGAGTGATGATGAGGTTGAGGATATGATGCAAATCTTAGATACATCTTGTGTGTACATGAAAGGGGTACATCCCTTTGAGCCTTTGAACAGGCCAGAAGGACCCCGCCTAAGCCGTCAATTGAGGAAGCCCCAAAATTGGAGCTTAAACCTCTTCCAACTCACCTGCAATATGCTTATTTGGGAGACTCTGACACTGTACCTGTTATTGTTTCCTCTGACTTATCTAAATTGCAGGAAGAAAAGTTGTTGAGAGTGCTACGTGAGCACAAGCGAGCAATAGGGTGGACGATGTCTGACATAAAGGGCATTAGTCCAGCCTTTTGCATGCACAAAATCCTCATGGAGGATGGACACAAGCCCAGTGTAGAGCAACAAAGCCGACTAAATCCAATCATGAAAGAGGTGGTAAGAAAAGAAGTGATTAAGTGGCTTGATGCAGGTATTGTATTTCCTATCTCAGACAGTAAATGGGTAAGCCCCGTCCAATGTGTACCCAAGAAAGAGGGGGGGTGACTGTAGTAGTTAATGAGAATAATGATTTAATCCCTACAAGAACTGTCACCGGGTGGAGAATTTGCATTGACTATAGAAAATTGAACAATGCCACCCGGAAGGACCACTTCCCCTTCCCCTTTATTGACCAAATGCTTGATAGATTAGCTGGCCAGGAGTACTACTGCTTCTTGGATGGTTACTCTGGGTATAATCAGATTTCAATAGCCCCAGAGGACCAATAGAAGACCACTTTTACGTGTCCTTATGGCACGTATGCGTTCAAGAGAATGCCCTTTGGTCTTTGTAATGCACCTGCGACTTTTCAAAGGTGTATGATGGCTATTTTTACTGACATGGTTGAGAGGTTTGTGGAAGTATTCATGGATGATTTTTCTGTGTTTGGATGTTCTTTTGATAACTGCTTGATGAATCTTGATAAAGTGCTTGCTAGGTGTGAAGAGACTAACTTGGTGCTAAACTGGGAAAAGTGCCATTTCATGGTACGTGAAGGTATAGTTTTGGGGCACAAGGTGTCCAAAGATGGTTTGCAGGTGGACAAGGCAAAGGTGGAAGCAATTGAAAAATTGCCCCCACCGATATCTGTAAAAGGCATCCGCAGTTTCCTGGGCCATGCAGGTTTTTATCGTCGTTTCATTAAAGATTTCTCGAAAATTTCCTCTCCCTTGTGCAGGTTGCTTGAGAAGGATGTCGCCTTTAAATTTGATGATGCCTGTCTGAAGGCATTCGAGGAGCTGAAGGGAAGGTTGGTGACTGCACCAATCATCATTGCTCCGGATTGGGAGCAGCCATTTGAGTTGATGTGCGATGCGAGTGACTTGGCTATTGGAGCTGTTTTGGGACAAAGGAGAAACAAAGTCTTCCACTCCATCTACTATGCAAGCAAAACTTTGAATCTAGCTCAGATGAACTACACAGTCACTGAAAAAGAGTTGCTTGTAGTGGTGTGGGCGTTTGACAAGTTCAGGTCATATCTTGTGGGGACCAGAGTCATCGTCTACACAGATCATTCAGCTATCAGATACCTGTTTGAGAAGAAGGACGCCAAGCCAAGACTGATTCGGTGGGTCCTACTCTTGCAAGAGTTTGACTTAGAGATCCGAGATCGCAAAGGAACAGAAAATCAAGTGGCTGATCACTTGTCCAGATTAGAAAATCGGAACCATATGGCTGAAGGGGTGCAATCAAAGAAACATTCCCTGATGAGCAGTTATTGGCAATCACCTCAAGCACAGCCCCGTGGTATGCAGATTATGTGAATTTTATTGCAAGTGGGGTGACACCACCAGAGTTGACACCAGAGAATAGACGGAGGTTCCTGCATGATGTGAGGTTCTACATGTGGGATGAGCCATTCTTATACAGGCTCTGTGCAGATCAGTTGGTGCGGAGATGTGTTCCTGAGGAGGAAATGAGTGCCATACTTCATAGCTGTCACGCCTTGCCATACCGAGGTCATCACGGGGGAGACCGGACCGCCCAGAAAGTGCTACAATCAGGTTTCTATTGGCAAAATTGTTTAGGGATGCACACGCCTTTGTTAAAATGTGTGACAGGTGCCAAAAAAGGGGAACGATCACAAAGAGGCACGAGATGCCGCTGCAAAACATTCTGGTAGTGGAGCTCTTTGATGTGTGGGGGATAGATTTCATGGGACCGTTTCCACAATCTAATGGTCATAGGTACATCTTGGTGGCAGTCGACTATGTTTCCAAGTGGGTGGAGGCCATTGCTCTTCCCACTAATGATGCAAAGGTTGTGGTAAGCTTTGTCAAGAAGCACATCTTCACACGCTTTGGAACTCCAAGGGTGTTGATAAGTGATGGATGAATGCACTTCTGCAACAAATTGCTGAATAATGTCCTTGCAAAGTGTGGAGTCAAGCACAAGGTGTCCACCGCCTACCACCCACAAACAAGTGGTCAAGTGGAAGTATCGAACAGAGAGGTAAAGGAGATTCTTGAGAAAACAGTGAGTGCAAATAGAAAAGATTGGGCCGGGAAGTTAGACGACGCATTGTGGGCATATCGAACTGCATACAAGACTCCCGTAGGTGCTTCTCCGTATAAATTAGTGTATGGGAAGGCATGTCACTTGCCCGTCGAGCTTGAACACAAGGCCTATTGGGCCATTAAAAAGCTGAATATGGATGGGGACTTAGCCGGTGAGAAGAGGTTGCTGCAACTCAACGAGCTCGATGAAATTCGATTGCATGCATATGAAAATGCAAATTGTATAAAGAGAAGACAAAAAGATGGCACGACAAGCACATCTACCATCGAGAGTTCGAGCCAGGGCAAGAAGTTCTTTTGTTCAATTCGAGGTTAAAGCTTTTTCCCGAATCTTGTTGGTCAGGCCCTTCTGTTGTGGTAAATGTGAAGCCTCATGGAGCCGTGGAGTTGAGGGATATGAGTTCAACTGGTACTTTCTTGGTGAATGGTCAAAGGATAAAACATTACTGGGGTGGTGACTATGCACGTCACAAGACCTCGGTGGACTTGACGGATGCTTGAGAACGTGTTGAGTCGTGCCACGATGTTAAATCAGGCGCTAGATGGGAGGCAACCCATTGAATTGTTGTAACCGTCGTGCCGCGACGTTAAATAAGGCGCTGGTTGGGAGGCAACCCAACGATAGTATTAGTTGTTGATTTTGTGTTTTAGGAAGTGCTAACCAATGCAGGTGATAATGGGCAAGTGCTAAGGCCATCGAACGAGGTGAGAACAGGTGAAAAGTTGAAGAAAAAAATTCCCCAGGTGCGCGCTCGCGCTACTGGACGCGCATCTGGGCGCGCTAAATTGTTCCACTTCTATTTTTGGACGCGCTAAAACTAGCGCGGCCACGCATCTGGGTGCGCTACTAGCGCGACCGCGAATTAGGGCGCGCTAAATTTTCCAGCTTCTGCCTTGGCCACGCTAAAACTAGCGCGCCCGCGCATCTGGGTGCGCTAGTTCCGTCAAATTGTCGCCCGTCATTTTTTTTGTTAGTTAAGTTTTTCTTCTATTTTCTTCTTTTCTTTTGTATAGGTTTTAATCTAATTCCCCCCCCCCCCCTTCTTATTACTGCCCTACCGCACATAACTTCTCCAAACACACACAAAACCCTTCATCTACATTCCCCCAAATTCCCTCTCCCATCTCACGAGTTCCCCATCCCTAATCTTACCCATCTTCCTCTCCAACTAATTTCTCTACTCACAATCATCTCCCACTACAGGTATGGTCCTTAGGTTCTTTTCTTCTTTTTTCTCTTTTTCTTATTTTTCAGTTTTTTGTATATTTGTATGCCATTTGTTGTAGTAGTTGTTCTTTGGTTTAGTGTAGAGACTTTAGTGAAAGATCTTATGGTGTTGGTAAGTGATTAGTGTGGGGTGGCGCTGCTAAGTGATGTTGTGGTGTTGTTAAGTGAAATTATGTGGTAGATTATTGTTCTAACAAGATAAAAGGAGTTGTGAAGGTCTAATGCCCACAAGGTGTTTCTGGAAAGGCCCCATTGAACGTGATTGTGTAGTTTGTGATGGCATATGCGTGCGAAGTCTGAGTAACCGCATTGCGTCACAAAGTTTTGATTGGGCTGAGCTAATGTGTCCTGTTTTGCAGATATCATGACTCCATCTAGGAAACGACGCGCCACAGGGGCCTCCTCGAGCAGTCAGGCGGGTCCGTCTAGGTCAAGAGGGGGTGCACATGCACGTACCTTCGATGCGACAAAATTTGTTTCGGCAAAGGCACAAGACCGCTTTGCAAAAAAGGCTCGTAAAAAGCCAATTCCGGAAAGGGGTATTCACATTGCACAGCTCCAGCGCCACTGCCCGCATATGTACGATGAGTTCTTGAGGCGGGGGCTACAAACTTTCATCAATGAGCCCGGTTAGGGTAATGCTATGATTGTGCGTGAATTTTATGCAAATGTACCGGAACATGTAAATGGGGTAGTCACGGTGCGCCGAAGGGCGGTGACTGCTTCTGTTGAGGCAATACGGGCGTCCTACCAACTGCCTCCTCCTCCGGATGCTGGTGATTACTTCCATGAGTACGGGCGTCACCCAATGAACGACGGAAAATGGGCACGATTTTTTGAGACAATCTGTGTGCCCGGGAAAGCAGTGAACTGGATGGACTATGGGGATAAATTCCACTCCTCCGCACTCACCTTTGAAGGGAAGTGCTGGTTGCACCTGATCAACAACCGCTTGATCCCATCGCGCAACACAACAGAGGTGAATAGGCCCCGTGTTGCCTTGATCTGGTGTTTTGTCAATTGTTATGACTTCGATGTGGCCCAGGTGATACATGATGAGATATTCGTCCGCAGTCAAATCAAAAGTTATGGGTTCTTTTTCCCTTCCATAGTGACTCAACTGTGCAGGGCTGCTCAAGTGCCCGAAAACCTAGCTGTGGATGGATTGGTAAGAAAGGAGGGCAGGTTCCGTGCTAATAAGGTAACAACGGGTAAGGAGCCGGAAGTAGTAGCGGAGGCGGGGAGAGTAGTTCTGATGAGTTTGATGATGAAGAGGCTGCTGAAGAGAACGTGGAAGTTGCACCACAGGCACAGGAGCAAAATGTGATAGTTGCAGGTCCATCTGGGACTGCAACATCTTCAGGAGCCGCCCGGGTGTACCGTCTTACTGCTTTGGAGCAGGAGATGGCGGGTTTGCGCACTCGGGTAGATGCGATGGATGACCGACAAAAGAAGTCGGAAAAGAAAATCATGGGCTGGTTGAGAGCGTTGGGTCGGGCGTGCCACGTCAACCCAGACACCGTCTCCGACCAGGAGTGACCCCTCAGGGAAGTCCCTTTACCTCACTTCTATTTTACATTTTAAGCCATGGGGACATGTCTTTATTTTTAAGTGTGGGGTGGGGGTACTTCAGTGTATGTTTGTAGATGTATCATTTGAATGATGTTTTTGGTTTTGTTTGTTTGATTCTGCTAGTTTAGCATTAAGTAGGAATCATTAGTTAAAATAGATAAATGGCTCGTCCCGACGACGGATTCCTTTCGACGGGGTTCTTGAGGGACTAAGTCAAAAGAAAAAAAAAATTGGAAAATATGTAGACTCTTCCTGATGACGGATCCTTTGGACAATTTTCTTGAGGGAAGTTAGTCTAGGAAAAACACCAAAAAGATTTTTCATTTTTTCTTAGGTAGTGTAGCAACTCCCCCTTGGTTTTTCTTTATACCACGGTTCTTTTCCAAGGGTTTAAATTGAACCGGGTGTAGTTAGTTTTTATTTTGTTTCTTTTTATTTGTAGATTAGGTTAATAGGCTACGAGCTAGAAAATTCAAAAGAGAACCCATAGCGTTGACACACCTGGACACAATAGACCCTAGAGTGTAACGCTTAGTCTTATTTGTTGGATCTCACCAAAGTTCCTTAATCTGTATGTTTGACTGAATTGAATGCTCGTAATGGAGTATCTTGATGAGCTGATCTGAAACGAGTCATGTGCCATGTGTGGTGAGATTTTGTGTAGTCCATGTTGTGTACTTGTGTCTAGAACTTGCCCGGTATGTTAGTTGAAGCGAAATTTAAGGTTATGCTCGGTTTGAAAGATGATTTTAGGCTCTCTTTGATCTTTTTGAGCATAATTGCTTATCACAAATAAAATTCATCCCTAGTTAACCCTTTTGGGCCTATAGACTTTTGTTTGGCACCCACATTACAAGCCGATATCCTTTTTGTTCTTAATTGACATCTTTGATCCTTCATCTTTGATCCTTTTACCTCGTAAAGCACTTTAATTGTGAGATGAGCGCTAAAAGAAGTAAGAAGGAACTAAGTGTGGGGTGGCTTTTGAGTGGAACCAATGAAAAGAGGAAAGATCCACTTGTTTTGTAAATTAATACACCACTAGTGGAAACTTAAAAAAAAAAATTGTTGTCTTATTCCAACTAGTGGGTATGAATTAAAATAGTGCTTAAAAAAAGAAGGGAGAAATTTTGGGGTGATATTGTTCGTGAAAGTGAAGTGGATTAAAGAACTGGCGCTTCAAGTGAATATGTGATGTGTTAAAGTGCTTAGGGGGGCTGAACCACTATTCCTAAATATATCCTACCCGTCCCTTAGCCCACATTACAACCATGAAAAAGTCCTAATTGATTTTAGACCGAGTAAGCCTACATTAGTAGAGATTTACATTAAGGGCAAGCTTATGGTACCAATTGCATGCATGTGACTTCTTTTGTGAGTGTGAGTGATTTTTCTTTGACATATATAAGCATGAAATTCGATTGTGTGGATTGATCTATATAATTCTGCTGTGAATGTGAGGGCATGTGATTCGTGAAAGAAAGGCAAGTCTTGACCTCTGTGTAGAGTACTTTGAGGAAGTATGAATATTGCATGGCACATGAGAGTCGACTTATGAGGCTAGGATTGTTCACTGCTAGGTGTAATGTATGTTAATTGTTCTAGGTGTAATGCGTTGGGGGAAAAGGTTGAGTGAAAGGACCTCTATAAAGTATAGTGTGATTGCTCGAGGACTAGCAATGAATTAAGTGTGGGGTGTTGATAATAGGCTGAATATAGGTGATTTAGCGATTGTTTATGCTCCCGCTTGATTATGTTCCGATGTTATAATGGGGTTAAATGATTAAAAATGGGCTTTAATTGTGATTTTTATATCTTGCAGGACGAGGAGCCTATGTGATGCATTAAGAAGGTGATCGGAACTATTTTAGAGCAAGAACAACCCCTCGGAGCTGAGTACGCACGAAGACGAGGAAGAAAATCACGAAATGAATGTCCTGGGCTAGTGCGGTCAGGTGCGCGCCCGCGCTAAAAGTAGCGCGCCCAAGACATAATGATTACAAACTAGCGCGGTCAGATGCGCGCCCAGGTGAGCGACCACGCTAGTCCAAATTCCGGGAAGGTTTATTTAGGGGTAAAATTGGAATCTGGAGGAAACCCCACTTAACCTATATAAACTCAAGCTCGCCCAAGGTTAATTTATTAAGTTTCATAGGCTAGTGCAAGGTATCAAGAGGCAAGAGGCAAGGAGGAGATTTGACCATCAAGTTCTTCTTTTCTTTCCTTTGTTTTTGCTATTTGTGATGAAATTGAACCCTATTGTGTTGAACTTTAGTATGAGTAGCTAAAATCCATTATTCTGGGGTCATGGGTGAAACATGAAAGTTGATGTTTGACGTTTAATTCGACGAAGTTGGTTTGTCATATTGGATTGTTTATTTAATTCTGATTTTAGTTATTTTGCCGAGTAGCTAACAGTGGAATACTATCTACAAATCTAGTGTTGAACTCGAAAATGGGAACTTTAGATTGCATATAGAATTAAATAGAGCAAGTTCTTGAACCCAGGCCTCGGGGAACTGATTCGAAATTGGGATAGACATATACCCAATTGCCTTGCTTGGTTGGAATACAGGAATTGTAAATGCATTCTTGTTAATCTTAATTCCATAGACATATAGGCATTGAGTTAGCTTGAATGGGCGAGTATGAACTCGACAGATTCTTATGAGTAATATAAACCCTGTCAATCAACAATCCAGATAAATCGATTAGTCGTTTTAAGCCAAGAACACAACACGATTGTTAAATAGCCCGTGACCCTGGAATATCTTCTCCTACTGTTTGTTACTTGAATTTGCTATTCGTTTGGTGAATTGCTCTAGTTAGATTATTTCTTGAAAGTTTAGGTAGTAAAACAATTACATCTCGATTTTGTGAAAAACCTCTTGGATAAATAAAGTAATTGAGTTTGAATCAGTCAACAGTTAATCATAAGTCTTCGTAGGAACGATACTCTACTCACTACACTATTACTTGACGATCACGTGCACTTGCGTGAGTGTTTTTGGTCGCAACAAGCTTTCCATGCTATGTTGTGACTTTACAAATAATCAATCAAGGCTCAAATAAGGACTTGCAATTAAATTGAAACTTGTGAAAGTAAGTAGAAAGAGATCAGAGATATGAGAGGTCTAAACAATTCTTAAGAGAGCAAACAAAGACAAACAAAGGAAAAGGGATCCTAGGTTTATGATTAATATGGATCACTTCAATGCAATACCCAGCAATCACTCCTGAAAGAGGGGTCGCACCTGATATTAGCGCATCGGTCATCATCTCCATATTCTACCCTTCCCACCCCGTAAAGGTTATTTAAACGTGTGGATTGGTCACGAATGCTTATTGCATGCTATTACCCGTCCCGTCCTATAAGTCCTAGAGGGTATTTAGGACCACTATTCCTACAAGGTGAGGACTAGGCTGAACCCTTAGGTTTAAAGGACAAAATGCTAGGCGACATACATAACAAGTAGGACTGCACATAAAGGAACCATACAAAGGCAAATAAGAGGCTCACAGATCCCTCACAAGTAAACATGTGATTAGCACGTCTCAAACACATTTAAGGTCTTAAAAGAACGCGAGTTTAAAGATCAGTCTTAGCAGAAGGTTTAATCACAACTGAGTGATCCGAAGAGCGTTTGACATGCAGAAACACAACTAAGAAAACAGTTGAGTAAGTAAAGGTGATGGAACTGTTAAAACATCGCTTGAAAAAAAAGGTAGAGATTTGAAAATACAATAGTTTAAGTAAACAAGTATCAAAATAACGTGATCCTGGGCAGAAAGGTACCAGTAATTTAAAAGCTTAATAGAGCACGAATCAGGAAATTAGTGAGAGCCTATAAATACGAAACAGGTTTCCAGATAAAGGGATTTTCAGTAAAAGAGTGGACTTTCGGAGATACGGATAAAAGAGTTGGGAAAGTTAAAAGGTTGAGTAGTTTGAAACTAGTAAAACAAAATCAATCATCTTTATTATTATTGGGCCTAAAGCTTGCCTAGGCGATGTATGTATTGCCTTCTTGTCTTAAAAAAAGTGGTGAACATGCATATTGA